AAGGTTGCATTGTTTATCTTATCACCAGTGGTAGAGGAGCCTCTTAAGATTTAGTTTGCAAGTAGCTGAAACGACACCAGAAATTACTCTTTTCCCTAGACAGTCACTTCTAAGTTTGAAAAGACTTAGGATATGTCAGTGCTTATAAGGTAGGAGGAAATTACAGAGAACAGGTAATTTGGGTGCTGGTTGACTGAGGGAGTGATGAGTACTTAACAGATTGGATCTTCACAAGTGGCACAGAGCTCACTGGACGTGCTAGCATGCAAAGTATTGCTGAAAGGAAAAGAATGAGAACCCAAATGTGGCTTTACCTTTTATCTTCCCCAAAATAATCAATAGAATCTGGAATTCTAAGCAGGAAAATATTAGATGTACTATATCAGCAGTTAGACTAAAATCACAAGTATTATAACCAAATACAAACCAAACCCTGCAGGTGGGCCACATTTACAAAGAATGGTTGAGTTTCTGGTGGTCCTTTGTATGCCAGAAAAATCTGTAAGTCAGATGTTGTACTGCCCAGGAAAAAAAAGTAAGGAAGAATGAGTGTAGTTTAAATGTGTTTATGTGGTCACTTAAAAAGAAGCATTCCAACATACGAGCACATGCATCTGGGAGAGAAGTTTCTATCCACAGGTATGCATGAGATGATTAATTCCTAAATATTTTTACAGTCCTTGCTTCATAATCCTCTGTCCTCACATGTGCTGTTTCACACTTCTTCAGTGAAAAGGTTCTTAAAGAAAACTCAGTTGGGCAGCCAGTGCTGTATTAGCCCCATGTGGTAAATGAAGCTCTGTGAGCTCAGACTTTAATCAGATGATGCTACTCGTTGTGTCATTTACCCACAGTCAGGCAACATGCTGGACTGACTGTATATTAGGACTTCCTGATATTTTTTTATTATTTGTTTTCTTTATTTTTATTATGAGCTAATTGAGAAAGAAGTACAGAGAGCTACATTGAAAGAACTGTATTTAGATTAAATTCAAGAACAAAGAAAAAAAATCTATAGAAGAAAAGTGAAGAAAAAGGATAGAAAAAATGTTATAAAATACAAAAATCTCAGACATGAAAAAAAATTATTTTCAAAATAAGAGCCAGTGCCCTTAGAAGGACAGACCAAAATCCCAAATTACCCAGAGCAAAAGAGGGTTAAGTTGGATGAACCTATTGGACCCAGACAAGAGGCAGAAATAATCAAAGTGTGAGTAAAGGAGATTCTTATGTGCAGTGCTCCCAGAATCTTTGTGCTGGCCCAAACACAGGAGTGCAGCTGTGAACTACCAGCAGGGTGAATTCTGAGTGAGTACCATGAATGGATGAGTGAGAAGGGACAACATAGACATATGATAATGGAAATGCAACTGTCTGGGGACTGAAAAACGTATTAGTGTATTGGATATTTCTGAGGAAGTATTAGGAGAACCTAACACATGGAATGAAATGCTCTCAGGGGCATTTTTGCAGGAATTAAGAGAGCCCGGGGGGCTGGAAAGCGGAGGCAGAAACACTGACAGCAGCAGCCTGAGAGCAAATGGGGACATCTGGAAGAAATGAAGGGCAGGCTTTTCTCTGAAACTTGACTTTGAAAGTTGCTTTCAAACAGAGCCAACTCCCTAACAACAGTATTCTGTGTAATTTCATTTTTGTGTTACAGAGCTGGTTTCAGTGACAAACAAGAACTTTCTCCCTTTGTTAATTAGATGAACATATCATGTGCAAAAACATTCCATACGGACACTGTGATTTCTTGAGCTGCCCGAGGCATGGCCCTGACAGGTAAGGGATGCTTTTCCTATGTTCCTTCTGATTAGTTATCTGGTCTGTTCACCCTTCCTGCACAGAGGGAGTCATGTTGGAATGAACTGGCAAAACTCAGGTGTGTCCTTTACTAGGAGGTGACAAAGCAAATTCTTGCTGTTTTCCCTGAAACAAATAGATACCCCTTAACTCTCAGACTTTAATCTCATGTTATGCTATGGCTGAGACAGGGAGAAGGTGAATTATGGAACCTGCCTTCTGACTGTCACATCCTTAGCCCAATTGTAGCAGTCAGGCTGAGGTTTCAGCATGGTTCTCCTCTGTCAGGCATGGCACCAGACCTTCTGGTCAGAATTCAAGACAAACATTTCTGTAGAAGATGTGACATATCTGAGTTAAAAATTCCAAAGGTTAGTCTGTTTTATTCTAAGTCTTTATGGTTATACCTGAATTGGTGAAGTTTTACTGACTCACAGACCAAGCTCTTGTATAAATCTTCTAATACTGCCAGGCAGTGGTTAATCCAAAATGAAGTAAAAATAATTTGTCTAGAAATTAGAGAATGAGAAATGGGTAAATCACATAGAAGAGATTTGTTCAGATGTGCTTTTCACTGCTATGCACGAGAATATATCTCAAATCCTGAAGCTGTATCGACATCATAAGTTCTTGCAGCCACTGCTTAAATTTCTGGGAACTGAGTATGGATTGTGAGGACAAATATATGGAGAAGTGCAGAGGACTGTGGGGCCTGGGGAGCTGGGGTTGATGTCTGAGGCTGTGTGCACTCTGATATAGTGTTCAGCCCCAGCCTGTCTCTGGTTTATACCTGTCTGTGTGGACTGTGCAGCTCTGTCTGTTCGGGGCCATCACGTGAGGTCCCCATTGCTCAGCACCATCCACGCTGGGCCAGGGGGTTCTTTTATCTAAATCAGGAGCATGTGTGGGTGCTTGTTGCAGGTTTCAAGTACACTATGCCAATGATTCACACAAGGGAAAGGCCTGTTTGTTGAAAAGGAATCTATGGCCATGGCAATTATGATATAGCTGAACTTTTCTATTGGTGAAATGGCTTTGATTCTACGTAATAAAAACCACGCAGCCTTGGAAATGTTTATTAAAATGTTTTAAAATTTATTATAACTGTTGATTTGTGGATGGGCAGAATGAAAAAAGCAGAAACATTACACAGGTTTCAGGAGAATGCCAACTGCTTTGAAGTTGGGTCTTAACTGCTGCAGTTACCTTTCCAAACTGGCTGGATTTGGTTCAGACACTCGGGGTCAGGTTCACCTGTCCTTAGCCATAAAAAGGCAGCACTTAATCAAAGGTTGTCACTGAGGCACTTTTTGTGGTCAATGGAGAGAGGAAGACACCTCAGGAGCCTACCTGCTCCTCCTTGCCTAAATTAATGAGAACTTATGGCAACACACATAACAATATATGTTCATATGTTCCCTGAGGAATGTCTGAAAAAACATTTTTTTTTCAGTGTCATTACAGAATTAATTCAGTGCACCTCCAAATTAAAAACAGTTATGTTTTTAAATGGGGCTTAATTTTTCTGTAGGGGAAATATGCTCTCCAATAATCACAGTTGTAGTGACCGTGGCATAAAAGATCTGTCTGTAATCCTTATTTTCCCTTTAGTTTAACAATAAAATTAATTATTCAGAATTATTTTACAATAATTCTTAGTATATTTTTTTTTTATAGTGTTATTTGAAAAGAATACACTATATTGATTAATCCTAGCAGGATCCCTTAGTCTGTAGCAATGATACAGTAGCTGGGGTTTGGACTAGATGATCTCCAGAGATCCAACACTAACTATTCTGTGATTCTGTGATTTACAATTAAATTGCATAGAACATAAGGTTTTATAGATCTAGGACTCTGAAATTCAAACCAATTTAATATAATTAAATATTTCTTACATCCCCTCCAATGATGATTTCCTTTCACAGTTGGTACACCTCCTTTTTTGCATATTGTAGTGGCTTGTAGAATAGAACTTAGCATTATAGCAAATACAATTTGAATGGAAATGATTTTTCTGCCCCTTATTTCAGTCTGTATATTAGTGCTTATAAATCCAAATACTGTGGGTTATTTTATCTTTCAACAGGGTTCCTGATAAAAACCAGCTCTGCATGTTTCAGAGCAGAATGTCTCGTGTTCAGAGCAGAGTTTAAAGTATAACAGCAGTAAAAATAGTATCAGTAACCCAACATCATTTTTCTTTTTCATGATACAGTAAGACTGTACTATAGAGCAGATGTATTTTATGTTTATTCTGACAGTTTATTTTTTTAGCTGAAATGAGGGGCCTTGACAAAAGTTAATTGGGTAGCAGGAGATGAGATTCAAGGAGGCTTTAATGATGTTTCTCCAATCCATCCCTCGTGTGGTCCCATTTAAATGGGAGCTTCAGCTGAACTGATGCTTTTGACAAATTCCCTTCCCCTCTTCATTAGGACCTGAGAGGCAGGAGTATGACATGATTAAAAAAGTCTCTGCAAGATTACTGCTGGCAGAATTTTCTTTATTTCAAGGGAATTGTCTGATGCCCTCATACCACCAAGTTTATGCGTAAAAAATACCGGATTTGTCAGTTGTAAACCTGCATATAATGTTACAAAAAATAAATCCAGAAATTACTGTTTTTAAAGAATCTGCATTGCTTGCAGTGATAAAGTAATTAGTCTGATCTGAACACATGAAATGATGGAGTTATAATTTTAAAAGAAATTAAATAGGCTTCACGGTGAAGGAGGAAAATAAGTTTGAGAACAACCCTCTGTTTTTTTCAGAATAATCCTTGTAATGGCCACATATATCCACATGATGAAGGAATTAATTCATGTTACCATTTAACTTGTGTCACTGAGTGCTTATGGGCAGCTAAACATGATGATCCTCACTCTGAAACGCATCACCCTCAGCTCTGACAGGTTAAGTGCCCCCATTATAACTGGTATCTGCACTGGATCATGACAGATCCCTCTGCTTTGGAGGCACTTGTTTAATGCCCTGATTTCCAGCTGGCTGAGGGAAGAGGCAAAGGGCTGCTGTGGCTGCTCCAGTGAGGGATGGGAGTGCTGTGGGGCTGGAGGGAACAGCATGGCCTGGCTGGTCCTGAGTGCTCAATAGCCAGCAGTTAACTGACCAGCAGTTAACTGACCAGCAGTTAACTGACCAGCAGTTAACTGACCAGCAGTTAACTACCCAACCATCAGCTAATGACCAGTGCTGAGTGCTGTGGGGCTGGAGGGGACCAGCATGGCCTGGCTGTTCCTGTGCTGTTCCTGTGCTCAACAGCCATCAGTTAACTAATCGATGCTGCTGCATCACTGACCCCTGGGGAACGAGACACCTACGAGTCAGTTCTGCATCTTCAGAGGAAGGTGTGGTTGTGTTGCTCAGTGGCACTGGACAGGGTATCCTGTATGTTTGCCAGCCTGTCAACTAATTAAAAAAATAATCATCTTGATGCAGAAAAAAAGGGGATTTATACAAAGCAAACTCAGGTGGAGCACTCAAGCTTTATTTCTGGGTGGTGGCATGTTTAATTTACTCCAAACATCCACAAGATGAATTTTGGAATATGGAATTTACAAGAACGAAACTTGTAAGTAACTATTTGCAAAAATGTAAGTTTAAATTGGAAATGTAGTAATCCTTTCCATTCTTAGTTTGCAGGGAATTCAAAGTCATTACTTAGAAAACATTCCTGAATGCTATTACCTTGACTGCAAGTTCAGTTTTAGGAAGTCCTTTCAAAAACTTGACATTACTGTAAAAGAGGTCCAAGTGCAGCTGTTTACACACAAACCCTGTAATTATTTCATTCATGGATTGTCAGAGGTAATACAGGTTAGGTTCCTGCCTTTTGATCCTTTGGGATCCTTCAGATGTTGAACAATATGCCTGGTTTATGTAGGGAAAGCCACTGTAGCAGTTAGAAAGGACATTCCTTGTGATCTTCAACTCTTCTTTTGCCTTCAACCTGAAATACAAAAGACAAAGCCCTGATTTAAAGGGGAGGTAGCTGGGGGGGTTCAAGGAAGAAGTGAGAGACTGTGCAACACTTCACACTAGCTTGCAGTATGTCTTTTTTCCTATGTTTTTACTGCCTTGAATTCCCCTTCAGAACACAGCAGCATTGGCAGGAGCTTGCTTTACTCACTGGCCCTTGGCTCTGTTCCATGCTGGGATCAGTTCCTCATTCCCAGGCTGCTGAGGAAGCCCAACCCAGGCATTGCCAATGTCATCAGTGGAGCTGCTGCCTGAACAAACCCCTTTCAATAGCAGGGCTTAATGTTCTTGATTTACCTTCTAAGGCACGACTGCTACTGGATAGCCTAAGATAAGGTGATCATCTTGCGTCCAAAGGCAGCTTTCCTTCATCTCCTGTTCCAGATGGGTATCAGAAGAGATCATATTCTTCAGATGGTCAGACATTAGTGCTGATAGAAGCCTGCATTGTTGGGTGGAAAAGATGGTAACTTGGGGCAACATCAACTCCATCCCGCTCCTGCAGAGGTAATTGGGTTTGTTGGTCTGTTCTCTCTCTAAGTAATTGATGCTTTCATTAGATCTGTAACAGTGCTATACATTCCTATCAAAGGCTAATTGATACCCACCGCTCTTGCCTTCAAAAGCTCTTACAAGGATTTTTCCACCACTAGTTCTGCTGCCTCCAATTCCCAATTTCTTCTTGCCTCGCTGAACCGTCCGAACTGCTACTGTTGAGGTCACTGCCATATTCTCTTATGGAACTTGTTAGGTAGAGTACTGAAACCTACTGGAATTAAGGAGATGCTCATCAGAGAATCTCCCTCTAAAGTAATTTGAGAGGAGTGTCTTAGGCCATAATTCAAGCCCTTAAACCCGTATAATTTCATGTTCTACCTAAAGTAAGTAGCCCATTTCCAGAATTTTTTGTAAAGCCACTCTCTAACCATAATTTTCTGGAAATGGGTTTTATTGTTTCCTTGAAGGCTTAAAAGTCATCAGTGTGAAGACTATGTAGTCAGATAGCAGGTTGTGTTAAAGTTGGTAATAATGCAGTAATTTAGGATTCCCATGTATTACATTTGTTGTAATTAAAGTCGAGCCTTCTCCAGCACATCCTGCTGGTTCAATTTTCTTTGTGCTTATGTGAGTGCATACAAGGAATTGCCTTGGTGTGATCAGCTCATACTCTGTCGTTCTGCTCTTTAAACACTGATGTCTAAGGTTTCCTGCAGCAGAGGAGCAAAACCTGTTTTCTTGGATTAGGCTGCCCCCCACTGCAGTGACCACTGTATCACCTGGGAATCCTGGAGTATCCCTGCTTATCTTGTCACTGCTCCAGTTCCTGGCAGTGTGGAGTTCTAATACATGGCATTCTGCAGAGCAAAGACAATAAGTAGCAGGTGTCCTCTGCCTTTTTGCCAATAGAATAGGACCAGAGTGAGATGCAGCTAGACTTCTCAAATACAGAGATAACCTGTTTGGAGCCTGCCTGGGGTATTTACTTGCCTCTTTTTTCAGGTGCATGGAATTTTTCCCCAAAGGCAAAGCTGTTCTTTAGGCATTAAATTATCTTTGCTGGAGAGCATGTATTCTGAATTTCCTCATTAGCAGTATATTCTGCCACCTGTTCTAAGTGCCTACTTCTTAGGTCACATTAGGGTTTAGTTATTCTAAGGTGGAAGGATGCAAAGCAATACTTCCTTCCACCCCCACACAGAAGAAAGTGAATTTCATATTCTAAGAGTCTGCTTAGAAGTCAGAGGGGTTTTTTAATTTTTTTTTAACACCAGTTTAGCAATTTTATGTTAAATAAACATGATTTAAGGAACTCTGTCAAGCTGAAATCTTGTGATTTTTCTTACCTTTGCCGTTAACATTCCCATTCTCCCTTAAGCCATTGGTAGTAATGAACCATAGTCTGAGAAACTGCTATGTTGGATTCCATGATGTATGAGAACCACTCTCCAGAATTTCTCTCATTCAATGAGGGATAAAATCATAGTTCATTAACAGGGCAATCTGTGAATAAAAGAGGTGTGCCCTGACCTCCAGAAAAGGAGCCTTTCTCTGTGATGACCAACGTATACAGTGCACAAACACGAATAATAGAGGATCTCTTCCCTCAAAATATTGTGCAGACATCTGGTGTTTTGTAGGAGGCTCTCAGCATCTGACAGGATCTTACCATAAGAGACTCCTTTAAAGGGCATGACTAACATTGCACAGGAATTCCACACCTTACTGGAATATCAGTGGGAAACTGTAAACGACCAGCTCTTATTTAGAAGTAGAAGTTAAACAAGTTCTGCTCTTGGTTGAGCAATCCAGGCTCTTGAACCAGTGGTGGGGAAGGTGGGAAGGTGGTGGACAGATATGCAGGAAAAATGGACAGAAAGAATGGAAATTGGAGCCCCAGGGTCAGCAGGATGTTTAGGCTGACTGAAAGGGAAGGTGGGAAGGAAAGCATGCACTGAGAACAAAATCCCAGAGCAAACCCCCAGAGTGACTGGGGCATCTAAGGCCATTCAGTAACACTGATATCACAGCTGGGCAGGTTCTCACTCAGTTATTTTTACCCTGTGTTTATCTATTAAGGCCCACCTTTGACCAGAACAGAAAAATTATGCTCTCTGAAATGTAGAGGGTTAGTACATCACATTTAGTTCTTGCATCCTTTTACACCTGTCACAAAGCTGAAGATCAAAAGCAGCATTGTGGCTTCCCCAGGCAATGGTGGTTCTGCACCTGCACACTGAGCAGCCTGGGCAAATGTTCCTCTCCCTCAAGGCTCAGGGCTCACATGCCCTCCTGATGCCTGGGAAGTGTTTAGAACACATTTTGTTGAAATTAATTGAATACACAAAAGCAAAAAGAGCTGAAAAAATGTTAAAAAATTTATGAATACTGGTGAATGATCAGAGCACACAAAACCTTAGACACCTTCCATCTTATCTTACATATGAGCCTCCTTTGATCTTCTTCCTCTCAGTCTGTTACATGGCTTTCTTGTGCTATTATAATTGTTCTGCTGACATTGTAGCAGAGTGAAAGAATCAGTTGAAGTCCAGCCAAGAGGTGGCAACTTGCAAAAATTTGAAGATCAATTTAATTTTATATAAAACTGTAATAATTTTTTTGAAGTCTGTGTAACAATTCATTTAAGTTAAACAGTTATACAGTTTAAGAGAATTGAACCTTGCACAGTGTTTTAGCAAATAACAGTTTGCATCACTGTCTCTATGTATTTATTTTTATGACTAAATGAAAAGTTACAGTTTAAAAATATATCCTTTTTAAGGAGGAGATTATTGTCCAGTTTAGTGTAGTAGTTTTAAAATTTAATGTAATTTATGATTTGGTTAGTTAAAAGAATAGTCTGAAAGCTACTACTTACTAAAATATTATAAATCAAGGTGGTAGTTTTATTACTGCTGCTTAAAAATGTAGGACTGAAACTTATTTGTACACAGCAGAAGAGTGCATATGAGGACTAAAAGAACTAGCATCCCTTGCTCCATACTTTCTTCTATTTTAACCTAAGACAAAGTTGTTTCATCATCTTTTAGGATCTTGAAGACATGGTGGGCTATGGGCACTAATTTTAGAAAACATTACCTTAATTTAAAGAAAAAAAGAGGAAAGATTGTGGGCTTATATGAGAAGTCTGATCCTAGTAATCCATTTAGCACACTAGGAAGTGTGACTTGTTAACATCAGGCCTAATTCCCAAAGGAACATTTAGCTGGATGCTGAGGGAGTATGAGATGATAGCTTTCACAGTGAGTGGTGTTTCCTCTTCTCCCACAGGCTCTGGGAGCTGCTCCCAATGAGGTTGTGTGACAATTTCCAGTCTATGTCCCTCTTCATTTGTGTAGAAAATGTTAAAATTTTGATGAGTTAATAAACACAGCACCTGTACATTAGATCACAATCAATACTGAGAGGAAAAAAGCCTTAAAAAAATATTCCTAGTGCGGAAGTTGAAGGCTTCAATTTGGAGTAAACTGTATTCTTCACTGATTGGGGAGACGTGGCCCCTTTTCCTAGGGTAGATCTAGGGCGGTCTCTGCTCCTCTGACCAATGTTTTCCTCCTGGTGGTGGTGTGTTTGTGCAGAAACACACTGAGTGCTCTGCAGGCATCCCAGCTCAGGAGCTCAGACGGGGGCCAGGCAGTTCAGCCTCCCAATTAGCACCTGCATTAGCATTTCAGCTTGGGGAAGAGGGGTGTTTTCCAGTGGAATTTCTGGATTATCCCCTTTTATGGTGCTTCAGTTCCCACGGCAGGGTAAATGTCAGTCACCAGAGGAGTGTGGAGAACTCCAGTTGAGTTCACAGTGATGTGTCCTGTTTGCTGATACTGCTCCCATGGTCAGCCACAGGGATGGG